ATCAAATAAGCCCTTGAATTACTGCATTAATGTTAAGACTCAGGGTTCCATCCTAAAAGGTCAATCTGATAGGAGGAGTAGCTCGTGTGTTAATATAGCACTTTGTTCTTCCAAATGTCTCCGGTGTGGAACATTTAACACCCCTCCTCACGACCAGACACTTCGTCTGGATCGTGCAATCATTCTTTTTTTTTCATCGGCCCGTTTTTTTCATCCGGCCGTAATTGTCATTTTGTTATAATCGTGTCATCACGATTCATAAGGGGCCCCACACCATGGATCGATTTGGCTCTGATACCGTGTTAAGATTCGGGGTTCCATTCTAAAAGGTCAACCTGATAGAAAGAGTAGCTCGTGTGTTAATATAGCACTTTGTTCATCCAAATGTCTCCGGTGTGGGACATTTAACAATTAAAGTCACCCAATATTTTAATTAATCCCAAGAAATTCCTAATATTGTCCTTTTTGTGAAATGTCAAGTTATGTTTAGAAAGATATTTGACAACCACAACACCCCAAACAACACTTGCATCTAAAATTCATTTGCTTTAGAAAATTATTCAAGAGCCACTTTATCAACTATCTCATTTTTATAACCACCGTTTTAATTCCATCAAAGTCCTCATGTTACTCATCATAAGTCTGCACTTGTTTCATGTGCTCTTAATCTCGCACTATGATAGTCCCCAATCATCAAAACCCAGAGAATCTTTTTCAACATATTTTCTAAATATCTTACAATAGAAGCAAAAACAACCTATGAAGCTTATTTAAATAAACAATCCAATCTCCATCATAAAATACTATTGAGAAACTTATAGAGAATTTATCTTTAGGCCCTTTAATAACCATTAAATCTCATTTTGGAACATTTTCACTAAAATATGTATCTATTTTGAATCAAGTGCATCAGAGATAATTGGATCATAATGTCAAACAAAGCAGAGTTTATTTAGCTTATCATCTTGAATATCATTTATGATATCCTCTTCATGCAATTATTCTTACTATCTGCAATCTCAAAATTACCTTTATCGGGTGATTTTGAATCCATATCATTTTTACAATGATCTTTTATGTGAATATTTTCATCAACATCAAGTGTTGAATCTATATTCTGTGATTCACCCTCTTCAATCTCTTGAGGCTCTTTGATGATGCCTTTATCAACAACTCCTTTTTAGACGGAGTTAACTTCTCAAGTCTTTCTTTCCACTAAAAGTTTCATATCTAGATGAGTATATCTTTGAAAACATAACCAAGGGTGGAGACAGGGTAGGCCGGCGGTGGCCTCGGCCCCTGCAAGGAAAAAAAATTGTGATCTATATATATGTATAAATATTTATAAGTACTAAAAAATATAGTGAAAATATAAGTTTTGGCCCCTGCTATATACTTTAAGCCCCGGCCCCTGTAACTTGTCAATCCTGACTCCGCCCGCCACTTACATAATTATTATAAATTGTCAAAAATATCCCCAATCGTGTGTACCTTTCCAAATTTTGAGTTTAAATTTAGTTTAAATTTGAAGATAAGGAGTATAAATGACAAACCAAAAGGCTAAAATTAGGTCACTTATAAAGTATCGATGTATTATAGTGTAAAAAGTTGGAGTTTTTTTTTGACAGAAGTAGGCTTAAATTGATAACACATCATTCAGATAGTAGGTAATCCGACAAAAAGATTCCTGATAATCGCCGTCCCGCGAACCAGACTCAAAATTAATCACCTCCAAAGAAGCAATAATATAATTCGTTGATCCATTAATAGGCACAAATGAGCCAAGGACGATTACTGCAATCCTTCCATCACCCCCATCCAAATTCATCGTTTTACAAGCAGGAAAAATAAAAATAAAACAAAACAAAATACCCAACAAATTGTCTTCAAACGAAAAAATAAAGCAAATAAACTTCAAATTCTGCCCGAGCTCTCCAAACGACATGAGCATCCTCAGCTTCCGAATCCCTGTCATCTGGAGTTGATGTGGCGGACTTACAGACCGAAGCCCGCCCCCATCCCATTTTTTGTCCCATCTAGTGCCATGTTGTCCTCTCCATTCTTTTCTTCCCCCTGAGATTCCCATATTCTTCTTCTCTTTTGTTCCCCTGATGATTCTTCTTTTGTCTCCCCGCCCTTAGTCATACTCTGCGCTGATTCTAAGACAGACTCTTTTTCCTCTCCATCCTGCTTATCGACCAACTTGAAATCCCCCATATAACCGCGGCTTATGCTAGAACTCATTGAACTCCAAACTGATTTTCCAGAACTAAATCTTCCTCGTAATTTAAAGGGCAAAATTTATCTGAATGCCCTATTAATCCGCATATAAAACAGAAATTGAGCAATTTCTCATATTTAAAATCCACTCAAAAACTTTTTCCTTCTTTTTTTAGATTAGTGCCCTTTTTCAACGGTTTGTCCACATTCATACACACCCTAATTCTCATATAAGGATCAAGTTTCTCCCTTTTCTGATCATCATCATAATTAACAAATTTTCCAAAAAAGTTCCCTAACTTTCTTGCAGTACCTAAATTGGTCAGACTATAAGGAACATTATGAACTTGGACCCAAAAAACAGCCTCATTTAAAACAATTTTATGCAGAATATCATCAGGTTTTACCTCTTTTAGCAACAACAGATTACGCTCAAATTGCCATGGTCCTCCCTCAATAGCACGATTCATATCAAAGCGATGATTGAAAGTAAAGAGGTACCTCTTATCACCCAAATCTTTGAAAGACATACCTTTTATGGGCCGCCATAGCGACAACATAAGTTCCTTGAGGGCTTAAAATTTCACCTTCCTATCTGTTAGCAGTACTCCCACTACCGGAAATCACGGGCTTTGTACCTCCACCGGGTTCTCCTCTGTTTCTCCCCCATCTAGGTCCAACTCCTCTTCCGCAGTTCCAATTTCCATTTGTTTGTATTTGTCCACAAATCCTTCCACCCCCTTCGCAGCTTTATATACTGCCCGAGCTTGGCCTCAAGTTCACCGGAGAATACCGAAGGCTCTCGACACCGCTTCAACCTACACAAAGACGACCCTTGGGACTGCCAAAGACCTCCAAACGCCAAACTCAGCTTCCAATCCTTGACTCAGGAGAATACTGAGGCCGAGGCTCCTTAAAAGAAGTCAGAAAAACGAAGGCCACACACCCCAAACGCCAAGTGTCAGCAGCGGGGAAACGAAACTAGGCGCTACCATATTGGTAGCCCTAGGCGGCGAATTCTTAGAGAGAGAATTTCCGTATTACAGTTGAAGAGTTAATAACTTAATAATCTCAATTTGTTAAACTAATTACAAAATTAACAAACTAATAATATGAATTTGATGATTTGTTGAGCTCAATTACAAATTATCCAAACATAATTAGTAATTAGTTAATTACCAAATATTCTAAACTAAAATCCCAAAAAGAGAACAATAACATTAAGGCACAATATATAAGAAATTGAGAATATTAAGATTGTATAATTCAAAGAGAAAAATATAACCTAGATTTGTGTCTTTCTGTATTCCATGACTAGTGGTGGTCGATTTCTTGTTATTTTTTTCTGGCGATCGGCATGTTTGGGATCGTCCCTTAACATCATTCAATCGGACATTTGTTGGTGATCTGTGTAGATGCATTCGTTCATCGAGAGCGACGAGTGAAATAGTCGAAATGGCATTACAACATTAATGGGATGGGGGGTTAGGGAGTGTTGTGTAGTATTGTTTAATGAATTCATCACTGAAAATTAAATTAATGTTCGAAAGAGTCGACGGTTATGTTTGTAGTATTGTTTAATGAATTCATCACTGAAAATTAAATTAATACCTTTATGGGATGGGGGTTAGGGAGTGTTGTGTTGCACGCTGCGCAACTTTGAGTTGCAAGAGTAAAAGGACGATTAATGGGACATGTGAGCTCATTCGACTCCAAGTTTACGAATAGTAATCATTCTAGTTTTTTGGGCCTTGGACCCAGTTCCATTGAGTTTTGCTTCCATTGCTTTGGGCTGGCTCTAATCTTGTGTGTGTAGTTATTATTTGAAAAACATCTCTGAGGACTCATGCAGGATTTCTTATTTGACTAGAGAAAAATGGGTTAGAGTGGTATTGAATGGTCATGAAAATTAAGTTTTAACACCTTTAATTTATTATGATGCAAAATGCATTTCGTTAGTGATCAGATTTAACTTGCAAGTATACAAGTGTTGATTGTATTATAAATTCCATTAAAAATATCAAGTCAATCCATAGAGAAAACAGTACTTATAAAGTTTAGATTTTGAGGATTAAAATAAAAAATTATGTAAAGTGCATGGATTTTTGGTTAAACATATGAATATATAAATATATGATAAAATGATCAAGACATTAGGATTCACCTAAACATTAACTAGCTAGGGTTTAATATAAGTTTTTTGTCAATTGTTGAGTATGCATGATATCACAATGGTATTCAATAGGGGTGAGCAAAATGGTTTGGTTTAACCGAACCAAAAATTGGTGGTTTGGTTTGGTTTGGTTTGGGTTTACTTAAATAAACCATTTGGTAAGAATTTGCTCAAACCGAATGGTTTGGTTTGGTTTAAAACCGAAAAACCGTAAACCGAACCGAACACTGAACAAATTATATATATATATATATATATATACATACATACACACACACATATATATAGGGGAGGGTTCTAGTGAGAACCCCTCCTAAAATGAGAACTCTTTATAATGAGAACTTTAAATCTCAATCTTTCATTTATTCAATCATTGATTATGATTCACATGGGGTCATATTCATAATTACCTCAAATTCAAATGGGGTTCTTATGCAATTAATAGACCTTGTCATTATTAGCCATTGATGATAAAAATTAATGATGGAGATTTAAAGTTCTCATTTTAAAAGGGGTTCTCACTAGAACCCTCCCCTATATATATATTGATAGATTAATTAATTCTAGAGAGAAGGGAGAGCTAGAGAGATAAAGTGATATGTGTATAGTGAATTCCAATCAACCATTCAATCATCCCCCCTTTACATGGCTCCCATAGGGAGTATTTATAGGAGAAAAGAGGGTTGGGCTTCCAGGCTTGGGCCTGGCTGGCCCAGTTACAACAAAAGGCCAATAAATGGCTAATAAATAGTATCTAATCTATTTTAATGGGTACATATGAATAAATGTAGTGTACAAGGAAATAAATGCTATCTACTGAACATATGTGGGCCGCTGTCCGGGCCACTGTCTGGGCCCAATAGTCGTGATACCCAGGGTCCGAGTCTATATACTCTATCAGGAGTCCCCCACTCTCTGAGTCGAGAGTACTCGAGGCGAAAGAGAGTAGAACTGTGTGCTGATCTGTCGTCGTCCGGTGAGTAAACTGCTGTCGTCGTCGAAGCGCCTCGCCCGGATTCCCAAGCCGATGATCCGATCCCACTGGTGAGCCCTGGCTGAGGCAACCCTGTGGGAAAATCCTCAGCCGAAGGTCGCAGGCCAGAGACCATCACCACCGGTCCTGAGGCCGGGGAGCTATGTATATGTACTGGCCGATGTGGCAGCTGAATATGTATGTGATATGATGATGTCGTCGGTGCGAGTGGCAATCCTTGCAAAAAAATTTGAATTTCTGCTTCTTTGGTAGCGAAGGCGCTAAGTCCCCCGCTCTCCCAGTCCCCCACTCCTTGAGGCGAGTGTCACGAGGTGAAGAGGAGTAGAGTAATGCATGTCTGATGATGTCTGCAACAGGGGGCCGAGGGTTGACACCTTTTGATCCACAATGGGGAGATGCCTCGTTAAAAACCTCATTAGGAAAAACCCTGTGGGAAAAAATCCTAATGAGGGAAAAAGAGTACACCGGATGCCCCCAGAACGAAACAAAAGGTGCGAGCCCTTCGGCCTAGAGGTGGAGCTGCAGCGGTGTCCGTCTGCCGAGGGGATGGCAGAGGCCGATCCATAGATGTGGGTAGCTCGTCATGATCAGTAGTCCTAGTCATCAAATAAAGATGACTAAGGGATTGGTCGAGCGACCGTCCATAATATGATGTCTGGTTCATCAAATAAAGATGACCAGAATATGAGGTCGATGGGCCGATGTGAGCTCCACGTCATCAAATAAAGATGACTGGGAGTAGTGGCCGAGAGGCATATATGAGAGCTCCACGTCGTCAAATAAAGACGAAGGGGCGATGTGTGGCCGAGGGGCCTGGATAAGAGCTCCACAACGTCAAATAAAGACGACGGGGCGATGTATGGCCAAGGGGCCTGCATAAGAGCTCCACGTCGTCAAATAAAGACGACGGGGCGAGATATGGCTCAGAGGCCTATAGATGAGTTCCTCGTCATCAAATAAAGATGACAGAACGATATGTGGCCGATGGGCCTGTAGATGAGCTCTTCGTCATCAAACAAAGATGACAGAATAATATATGGCCGATGGGCCTGTAGATGAGCTCTTCGTCATCAAATAAAGATGACAGAATAATATATGGCCGATGGGCCTGTAGATGAGCTCTTCGTCATCAAATAAAGATGACAGAGCGGTATATGGCCGATGGGCCTGTAGATGAGCTCTTCGTCATCAAATAAAGATGACAGAGCGGTATATGGCCGAGGGGCCTATAGATGAGCTTCTCGTTATCAAATAAAGATGACGGAGCAAGATATATGGCCGATGGGCCTGTATGAGAGCCCTTCGTCATCAAATAAAGATGCTAGAGCAAGATGTGGCCGAGGGGCCTATAGATGAGATTTGAGATCCTTTAGTCTCTGAGCCGGAGACCGCAAGATGTTTGCTAGATCCGAACATGAGGACGAGGCGTTGGACGCCTGTCTGAATATGAGGATGAGGCGCTGGGCGCCTGTCTGAATATGAGGACGAGGCGTTGGACGCCTGTCTGAATGTGAGGACGAGGCGTTGGGCGCCTGTCTGAATATATGCGGACGAGGCGTTGGACGCCTGTCTGAATATGAGGACGAGGCGTTGGACGCCTGTCTGAATATGAGGACGAGGCGTTGGATGCCTGTCTGAATATGAGGACGGGGCGTGGGACGCCTGTCTGATGATACGATGACGAGGCAATGCTGAGCCGATCATCGTATAGAGGCGACGGTCGCCATCTAGGAGGGGATGGCGAGCCCGATCGCTAACCGAAGACATTCGGCAATGAGAGGCCGGTCTCGGAGATAGGACATCACATCGTGGCCTAGGGGCCGATCGTGATGTGAGGACGGCCGTGATAAGGAGCCGATCCAAAATAACAATGACGAGGCGATGATAAGCCGGTCGCCATGTAGGGGCGATAGTCACCATCCAGGAAGGGATGGCGAGCCTGATCGCTAGCTCAACACACTCGGCGCTGATGAAGCCGGTGTTGAGATAGATCATCACGCCGAGGCCGGGGCGGCGGTCGTGATATAAGGATGGCGATAATGGGTAGCCGATCTGAATAATGATGACGAGGCAGAGATGAGCCGGTCGTCATGTAGTGGCGACGGTCGCCATCCAGGAAGGGATGGGGAGCCCGATCGCTAGCTCAACACACTTGGCGCTGATGAAGCCGGTGTTGAGATAGGGCATCACGTCGAGGCCGGGGGGCCAATCGTGATGCGAGGTCATCAGCACTATGAGGCTGAGCCAAACGTCCAAGCAACGGTCGCCATCCGATGAAGGAATGACTGACACCGGTCATGGGGAATATGATCACGTCGAGGCCGAGGGCCTGCCATGATGTGAGGGTATCAGCACTGAGGGGCCGACCCAAAAATCCATGCAATGGTCGCCACCCAGTAAAGGAATGGATAAGACCAGTCTTGATATAAGGTACCGCGCCTTGGCCGAGAGGCCGGCCGCGATGCAAGGACGACGACTATGATAAGCTGGTCCAATGTATGATGACGAGGCAGTGATAGGCCAATCGTCATGTAGAGGCGACGGTTGCTATCCCGGAAGGGAATAGCAAGCCCAATCGCTAGATCAAGACACTCGGCGCTGAGGGAGCCGGTCTTGAGATAAAGCATTACGTCGTGGCCGAAGGGCCCGATCATGATGTGAGGACAAAGATGCTGAGGAGCATGTCCGAGATATGATGACGAGGCAATGATAAGGCCGATTGTCATGTAGAGGCAACGGTCACCATCCAGGAAGGGACGGCGAGCCCGATTGCCAACTCAAGACACTTGGCGATGAGAAGCCGGTCTTGAGAAGGAATAATCACACCAAGGCTGGGAGGCCGGTCGTGATGTGCGGATGGCGATGATGATGAGCCGATCCGAATAATAATGATGACGAGGCGGAGATGAGCCGATCGTCATGTAGAGGCGACGGTTGCTATCCCGGAAGGGAATAGCAAGCCCAGTCGCTAGCTCAAGACACTTGGCGCTAAGGGAGCCGGTCTTGAGCTAGATCATCACGTCGAGGCCGGGGGGCCGATCGTGATGTGCGGATGGCGATGATGATGAGCCGATCCGAAGATCCAAGCAACGGTCGCCATCCGGGAAGGGATGACTAAGACCGGTCTTGAGATAAGGTATCACGCCTTAGCCGAGAGGCCGGACGTGATGTGAGGACGACGGCGATAATGAGCCGGTCCAACATATGATGACGAGGCGATGTGAAGGCCGATCGTCATATAAAGGCGACGGTTGCTATCCCGGAAGGGAACAGCAAGCCCGATCGCTAGCTCAAGACACTTGGTGCTGAGGGAGCCGGTCTTGAGCTAAATCATCACGTCGAGGCCGGGGGGCCGACCGTGATGTGCGGATGGCGATGATGATGAGCCGATCCGAAGATCCAAGCAACGGTCGCCATCCGGGAAGGGATGACTAAGACCGGTCTTGAGATAAGGTATCACGCCTTAGCCGAGAGGCCGGACGCGATGTGAGGACGACAGCGATAATGAGCCGGTCCAATATATGATGACGAGGTGGTGTGAAGGCCGATCGTCATATAAAGGCGACGGTTGCTATCCCGGAAGGGAACAGCAAGCCCGGTCGCTAGCTCAAGACACTTGGCGCTGAGGGAGCCGGTCTTGAGCTAGATCATCACGTCGAGGCCGGGGGACCGACCGTGATGTGCGGATGGCGATGATGATGAGCCGATCCGAATACTGATGACGAGGTGCTGATGAGCCGATCGTCATATACAGACGACGGTCACCATCCAAGAAGGGATGATGAGCCCTGTCGCTAGCTCAGGACACTTGGCGATGAGAAGCCGGTCTCTGAGAAGAAATAATCACGCCAAGGCTGGGAGGCCGGTCGTGATGTGCGGATGGCGATGATGATGAGCCAATCCGAATAATGATGACGAGGCGGAGATGAGCCGATCGTCATATAAAGGCGACGGTCACCATCCAGGAAGGGATGATGAGCCCTGTCGCTAGCTCAGGACACTTGGCGATGAGAAGCCGGTCTCTGAGAAGAAATAATCACGCCAAGGCTGGGAGGCCGGTCGTGATGTGCGGATGGCGATGATGATGAGCCAATCCGAATAATGATGACGAGGCGGAGATGAGCCGATCGTCATATAAAGGCGACGGTCACCATCCAGGAAGGGATGATGAGCCCTGTCGCTAGCTCAGGACACTTGGCGATGAGAAGCCGGTCTCTGAGAAGAAATAATCACGCCAAGGCTGGGAGGCCGGTCGTGATGTGCGGATGGCGATGATGATGAGCCAATCCGAATAATGATGACGAGGCGGTGATGAGCCGATCGTCATAGGAAGCGACGGTCGCCATCCAGGAGGGGAATGGCGAGCCCGGTCGCTAGCTCAAGACACTTGGCGCTAAGGAGGCCGGTCTTGAGATAAAGCATCACGTCGTGGCCGAGGGGCCGATCGTGAAGAACGGATGGCGATGATGATGAGCCGATCCGGATGATGACGAGGCGATGATGAGCCGATCGTCATAGGAAAGTATGACGGCGTTGGGGAGGCCGTTCATAAGCTGATGGAGCAAGAGCTTCGGCATTGGGAGCCGGTCTTGAGATGAATAATAAGTTTGGGGAATTTATTTATTTTTATTGCTCGAGGCCGGTAAGTGCGCGGTCCGTCGGCTTCCCTCTTTTTTTTTTTTTTTTTTTTTTGGATGGCCGAAGGGTTACTGTCCCTTCGTCCATGTGCGGTATTTTGTCCGCTACGCTTTTCGCGTGTGTTAGTGCGAGGGAGTAAATACACCCTCGGCTTGGTGTGTCAGTGGCATCCTTTTTTGCCTTTCCACGTCTATCGGCGACGAGGGACCGGACTAGGCATCGTCTTTTGACGGCCGCCCTTTGTGGTCCTGAGCGAAATTTTACTGACGGGTGGAGTTTTTGTAACCTCAGCCTTAATTCAGGCCTGTCGTCCTGCGGTTTCCGCGCGGACGACGCGGTATGCTTCTCCGTTTGAAGACGTTGGACCATGCACACAGGTCCTTCGTCCTGCATATCGCCGGCCGATTTGGGTGTTTCACCGCTCGCGCCGATACGATATTTAGGTGCGTTGTTTATTGCAACGGCTTTGTAGGCGCGTTGTGGATCGCAACGGCCTTAGGTGCGTTGTGTATTGCAACAGCTTTGGGTGCGTCATTTATTGCGACGGCTTTAGGTGCGTTGTTTATTGCAACGGCTTTGAGTGCGTTGTTTATTGCAACGGCTTTGGGTGCGTCGTTTATTGCGACGGCTTTAGGTGCGTTGTTTATTGCAACGGCTTTTGGATGACGCAATTAGCGTGTAGGGGAATGAGGTGTACCGCTTCTAGGCATAATGTCGTGTGCGGCCGTTGATGGCTCTCATTCTAGATGCCCGGGTCATCAAATAAAGATGACCATGGTAGGTCAATGGACCCAAATATGATCCGAATCATCAAATAAAGATGTTCGGAAGGTTAAGGCTTTGGCCCGCACCAATTGGGGATTTCAATCCGCTAGCAATGGTGGTGAAGATAATAATAATAGTAGCAATTATTATTATTGTTTTCTTTTTTTCTTTGGAATAGTAGTAAAACTATTTTTTCGGAATAGTAGTAAAACTATATTTTTTTTGAATAGTGGTAAAACTATTTTGCTCCATATTTAATGCATAAAATAGGAGGAAAAGTTTGTAACACTTACTTGTATTTGGGCCGAAGCCTGCGCTGCTTAGAATGCCAGCAGGGAAATATAATCGGTTGGGCGTGCTCTCTGAGAATCCACCCTTTGTGATTAATAGGCTGGCCCATATGTTAGCCCACTCCCTTTAATATCTGGAACTCTGGAAGCTTGTTCGCAGGGAGGAGCGTGAAACAGAGACGAGGAGGTCCCGCCGTATCTGCTAGAGTCCATTGTGGACGAGGAGGTCCAGCCGTATCAGCCGTCGTGGAGACAAGATGTGAGGCCGGCCGATGATATTACCGGCAGATGGGTTCTGGCCGATGGACACTGGCCGATGGACTCTGGCCGATGTGTGACGGCCGATGGGTTGCCGGCCGATGGGTTGCCGGCCGATGGGTTGCCCTGTTCTATTCTGCATAGGCGAGCCGAGATGGGCCGTTATTGATAAGATTGTGACTAGCTTTGGGGCCCTCCGTGGCCGAAGAGACTGCGTCAACTTCATTCGAACCGATGGGTTCTTCTCTCGCTTGGCCGACGAATAACCAATAACCACCTGCTGCTCGAGGGAGAGGGTCCATCCCGCTTGGCAGAGTTGGGAGGTGCTCTTTCATTGTTTGGCCGGAGTGCTCGATGGTTCACTACTCAGCCGGTCATTGGACGAGGGGCTGTCACCGGCTTTTCTTTGCTTCTTTGTTGGGGCTTGACCAAGGTAGGAGCGTTTGTCCGAGGGGCAGTTTATTTTCCTTGTTGTTCGGCCGATGCGTGCCGGCCGATGCGGTCGCGGGCCGACGGTTGCCGGCCGATGTGTTGCCGGCCGATGTGGAGCACCACTGCTTGTTCTATTCGGGTTTGACGGAGTTACCGGACGAGGGGCGTCGGGGAGCTTCTTTTGCCGAAGGGTGTGGCTTGCCTCTCTTTGGCCGAAGAGAAGCCACCAAGCCTGCGGGTTACCTGGCCGAAGTGACCCACTCCTCTACTTGGTTGGGATTTGTTGTTCCCAGGGACGAGGGCTGCCAGAGCCTTGAGGACGAGGGGTGCAGGACTACTTGGCCGATGCGGAGCACCACTGCCTATTTCACGGACGAGGGGCGACGGCCACTTCCTCCCTTACGTTCAGGTTTGACCGAAGAGCTTCCTTTGGCCGAGGGGGTCGGTCATCGAGCCGTGGTGGTGCTTGGCCGATGTGTGGCATCAAACGGGGACCGCTGCGGACGAGGGGCGCCGAAGGAGCTTTCTTTGGCCGAGGGGACTGCGATTCCCCTTTCCCATGCTTGAGCTGGGCGGGCTGTGGAGCCACCTAGCCGTTCCACCATCCGGCCGAGAAGCTACGGTCTCAGAACTCACATAGCTAGCCGAGGGGTGCTGATTGGACGAAGGACCTTTTAGCCTAGGCAATGGCAGTGGCCGAAGAAGCTCTTTCGGGGGAGTAGGCTGTAGCCGTCAGCAGCCTGGCCATGGGGTAACCCGTCCTTCCCTTTGGCCGAGGTGGGGCGAGACCCAGGTCACTGTGCAAAACCATCCATACCATCTCGGATGGAGGGCCCTACCAACTTCCTTTTATTTTGTTCGGAGTTGAACCGTTGTATCATTTTGCTCCTTAATGATGGATGGACTATGTTGCAGTAACAAGGGCCGTAGCGGTACCGCGTCGTAAGTATTGCTTTCTTGGTTTGAAGGATCTCACTTCATCCGTTCTAACTCTCAATGAAAGCACCAAATGATAGATTAATTAATTCTAGAGAGAAGGGAGAGCTAGAGAGATAAAGTGATATGTGTATAGTGAATTCCAATCAACCATTCAATCATCCCCCCTTTACATGGCTCCCATAGGGAGTATTTATAGGAGAAAAGAGGGTTGGGCTTCCAGGTTTGGGCCTGGCTGGCCCAGTTACAACAAAAGGCCAATAAATGGCTAATAAATAGTATCTAATCTATTTTAATGGGTACATATGAATAAATGTAGTGTACAAGGAAATAAATGCTATCTACTGAACATATGTGGGCCGCTGTCCGGGCCACTGTCTGGGCCCAATAGTCGTGATACCCAGGGTCCGAGTCTATATACTCTATCATATATATATATATATATATATATATATATATATAATAGAGATCAAATACAAAGCCTTCTTAATTTACAAAGTACAAACTCATCTTGACCGTCCGATGAGTTGATCCAAAGGACATAAAGGCAAGGTGACATTTTTGTAATAAAACCCAACTTTTTAGGGTGCAACTCGTTGCACCTTAATGTGCAACTGTTATTTTTATGACTTTATAATGTGCAATACTTTGAACCTCAATATGCAATGCAAATAACGTCAAGGTGCATCGTACAAATATTTGCACAATAAGCACACTTTGTACTTGATCTTTCCCCTATATATATATATATATATATATATATATATATATATATATATATATATATATAATAGATCAAATAAAAAGTGTTTCCTAGTGAAAAATAAGAACTAATCTTGGCCATTGATGTGAAAAAATGGATGGAAAAGATCAATTTTGAGGTATGAAACGTGGTGACATATTTGTAATTACGGAGAACTTTTATTGAAAATATTATAACAAATGTGCATCAGCATAGTCAAAAAGTGCACACGTAGAGCACAAAAGTGCAATACAGTACAAAATAAAAAGTGCACAAGTTGGAAAATTTTTACAATCTTCTTTGACACGCATGAGTGCACATTTAATGAGTAACTATCCACTTTATAGTATAAACGTTTGCTCATTTTTTGAAATCATCTCTTGTGTTTAAAGTTCATCTAATCCATCTATTTTCAAGTGATGGAAGGCCAAGATTTGTTCTCACTTTTCATGGGAAGACTACTTTTTACTTGAACCAATCCCTATATATATATATATACACACTAGTTTTTATACGCGCGTTGCGCGATTTGGTAGATGCCCAATGGAATTGAGATATAGCATAAACTTGCATGAAGCTATTGCATTTGCAATTTCCTTTCTACTTAAGATTTTTTTAAGAATATGTAATACCACCCTTTAATTTAAAAAGTGAGTATTATTTTTAACGAAAAAAAGAAAAGAAAATCACATTCCCACTTAAATACTCCCTCCGGTTCACATTCTTCTTTACACTTTCCTTTTTGGGTCGTCCCATAATCATCTTTACACTTCCTTATTTGCCTTATTTGGCAAACAAATCTGCACAAAACAGTGCCAAACAATGTTCAAACAGTGCGAAACAGTGTCCAAACAGTGCCAAACAGTGTACTCTACAGTGAAGTCAAATTTATTTCCTTGAAAACCGTAAAGTCAAACTGTAAAGAAGAATGTGAACCGGAGGGAGTAATTGTTTGTTTATATAATTTTGATGTAGAGAAGACCGTTAATATTTTTTATTACATTCAAATTTATTTTTACATCTAATATGGTAGCACATGATTTAGATAATTGAATAAATACTTGTAGTCCAACACTAAACAAAACAAACAAAGTGGTAAAATAAAAACTAATTGTGCACCCCGGAGCAAGTAAATAAGACTACATGAAATACCAAAGTCTTCGCCTTAGCGGTTAGTTCCAGGTTCTTCCATCAAATTACTCACTAAACAGGTGGTAATTAAATCACAGCAAGTAATTTCTAAGGCTTCCAAGTTCTTCCTTCAAATTTATAGATTGCATGCTGCAATGCACTGATTGCACTCTGAAAACTCTGACATGCTATTCATGTGAGAAATGGAGCTGCCTTTATGCTCATGATGGGCTGCTATAGTATCAAAGTCCCCCCCTACTATCCAAGATTATTTCCAGAGATTAATTTTTGTGAAATAAAGATTAATTTTTTCCAGAGAAGCCTTCTTAGCTATGGCTTCCATAAATGGCAGAAAAGAAACCAGTGATCTGACCAACCACAATCTTAATATGAACAAACTGATTATTGCATTCTACTTCAGATTTATTAAGGACAAAATCACCCAACAAAATCCAAACCTTATAAATGGATCACAAAGAACTTTAGAAAAGCCAAATTGGGTCATATAAACAGTAGAGTTGGATACAGACACAATTGGTTCGATGACTATCAATAAAAGAATCTGTCACTAATGGATGAGAGAATGAAGTCTAGAAGAAGAGCCTTCTAAACCTCTCAAATTACAAATAAGATACGGAGTAATTCATTAAGACCTGGAATGAGAAATATGTGATAGCCTACTGACTGAATTTGTTGCTGAACTAATTGGTCCTTCTTGCATAGCTTGTTTCTTAGCAGTATGTCATGTGACTCGAACTGGGCATTCTGTACCTTTCTTTTTGAATCTCCTTTTTGTCACCTTCATAAAGCCTTTGTCATCCTCCTGAGATCCTGAGACATGGTTCTGTCTCGAAGAATGCAAAATCCACTTTGGATTAAAGACACATACAGTCCTTTGTCCAAAGAATGCAAAATCCACTTTGGATTAAAAGACCACTCATTGGATATTATTAAGAAAAGTCAAGTTTCTTAAACAATTACTTTCTTATCATCAAGATGCAAATCTTCTTTTGCCTTAATTATTTATACTAATGGAAAACATAACTAAATATCTAAGTTATTGAAAATCTGAGATAATATTGGGCATTGAACTAAGCAATAGAGGTATATAATGGATGTTGACATTTTGATCCAAAAAAGCTTCATTTTTATGCTTTAAAAAAAAAACAGATGATAAACCCTTATCTCCGAGTCCATATTGAGTAACCAACTTATTCCAAATTAAGATAACTTACCAGTCATTTATTTAATGATGTTGTACTGTTAGTGGATACATTTGGGCAGACTTTGTTTGAAATGCAAATATTGAAAATGGATAAGCATATGATGGATAGTCAAAAAACACAAAGACCCTCACCTAGACAATTTCACAAACACGTTGTATGCATCATTTGAAATACTCCATACAAAAAACGCAAATTGAAAGCTACATTGACAAAACTAAACTGATTTTAAATGTTTAAGACAATAGCTAAGCTATGTTTTACAATAAATGGGACAAACAAAGAAATAGATCCATTCAATCGAAAAAGGGAAGAAACCTAACCTTCCTTCAGTTGTTAAGCAACACATAATAATCAAGTGCATCTTTAGTGTTCCAATGCATCTTTGTTAAATCTTCACTGCTGATAAGAACGTATTTGGTCACCACGTTCATGTTATCGTGTTATTGTGGGGGATGGAAAGGAATTTAAGGATAATTTCAAAGCATTTTTTGTATATCTATGCGAGTAGCTAATGTTGACGTTAACTATCCCAGACGTTAGAAGACGGAGATACACATTTAATAGATGCACGTACAATGGCCGAACCCTAAAGTACAACCCGTCAAAACACAGAATTACACCAACACATTTTCTATACCTAAAATGCCCTAACCAGCATTGGTGTTTATATGTTCTTAAGATTAAGTTTGGTGTTTCTGGTCCTGACTTTGACAAGCCCATACTAGAATTATTGAGTTGGACTTTCCTTGTCCTCGGTTTGACTAGCTCATACTGGAATTGATGGATTGGACGTTCTTGGTCTTGGGTTACTCACCCATCCCTATTCTATCATACATTCTGTCTAAGTATGACTAGCAATAGTATTTAACTCCATCGGTCCCGCCACGGTTAGGTAATAATTTACCAAGGACCCTACCGACCCACACCAAGGCTAAAGTACTAGCCCACATGCAATTGGACCTTCAATTTGGACTTTCAGGTTGCCCAACACTTAACCGGGTCAGTACTTGGACATTTGGGTCGCCCATGGTACCGAGTCCCAAATATGTACTTGGTTCTTCGAGGGTCAATATTTGAAGGTGCAAGTTAGCTTATAGTTTTGGTGATAACTTTATACTCGGTGATCCAAACTCCTTTATTCGAGGAGTGTTGGATTCATCTTTTAGGGATATACAACTCTTAAGAAGAAAGCACATTTCAATAATGAACACAGAAGAAGATAAGAGTTGCACTAGAAAAGTTCTTGAGGTTAGGTTCTCGAGGTCCACCATTTCACTCATAACTTCTGATTGGCTACTCCAATCTGTGAAATTCCATATGCTGCCAATTCTCCTCAGACATAGCTACAAATCTTAAGAAGGAATCATGTCGAAATAATGAACACATAAAAAGATAAGAGTTGCATGAGAGAGGTTCTCGAGGTCAAGTTCTCCAACTCAGGTTCTCGAGCTCTGGTTCTCGAGGTCTACCATTTTAGTCATAACGTTTGATTGGATACTCCAATCTTCAAAATTCTAGATGTTGCAGATTCTTTGTAAACATATATACAACTCCTATGAAGGAATCATGTCCAAATAATGAACACAAAAAAATATAATAGTTACACGAGAAAGGTTCTCGAGGTCTGGTTCTCAAGCTCAGGTTCTCAATGTCTACCATTGTGTTCATAAGTTTTGATTGGCTACTCCAACATTTGAAATTCTTAATGCTCCAGATCCGTCTCAAACATATCCACAACTGTAAGAAGACCATTCACTCAAATAATGAAAACAAATAAAGATATGGGTCCCAAACTAGACTACTTTGCGAATGGGGGTAATTCTTACGAAAACCCGTCTTCTTCATTCTCCTACTTTTGCAAACTACCGGAACTTCGACCAAATCATACCAATACAATTTATGTTTAGTAACAAGTATCTAGGGAACATTTTAACATTTTAAAAGTCATCCTTTTATGCATTGGAGGTGATCGCGTACAAGACCCAAAAGTTAAAGGGCATAAAGTCATCCTTTTGTTGTTGTTTCTATTCCAACTAGTTTGAGCTTTGATTCAATGATCCTTTTTAACTTGGAACCAATGAAGATGATCGAGTATGGAGTTTTACGTAAGAAGAAGAGCTCTTGTAGATGAGATAGTTGTTACACTGAAAATGAGTAGATCTAGGTTTACTTTTTTAGGCTCCTTAGCCTTTAATATGTCTATTAAATGGGCTCTAGGCCCCTTGCCTCCTTTATTTGTGCAACCTTCCAATCCCTTCTATTGTAATTAAAAACACTTCTTTGGTCCGAAATAAATTAATTCCCCTAACATAAAATATTATCCTATTCCGGATAAATTTGATACGCGACCCCGGAATACACTAGGCAGCCCTCGCCCCTACGTGAGTTCCACAAATTTAATTTAATATTTCTAACATTAACCGCAATAATAAATTACCAGTATCTTATTCATCATATTTTCAAAATTTTTATTTAGCGAAAAATTACATTTGGGAGACAGTGTCACATGATGAGTTAGGTTTGAGAGTTGTGCATGAATTGAAATATGTTTGAATCGAAAAATGCGGTGACTATTTTGTAAATAAGATAATTTTTTATGTCAATTTGAATTGTGAATTATCTTAACCATAAATGTGAAGCACAATGTCATAGATGTGCACAGCTTCTGATCGTTCTCGAATCTCGTAGAAAGAGCTGTTCTCACCGGAAGTCCGGGATTGGGCCCTGATAGTACAAATTTTGTAATAGTTGTAATTAGAATGATCAAATACGGTATCAAGGGAAATAAAGAATATCAACATTAACCGTTTTAGATGTTTGTAACTTTAGTTTGCTATTTACATATTCCCTTTGTCCCTATGTAAAGACCCCGCTTTGAATTGCATGCATATTAAGGAAATAATTATTTTTTCCTTTGAATTCCTGAAATAAATCTTTTACTAAGGGATCAATTTTATTGTAGTCTACATTTTATTGTAGTGTAATTGTTTTGACATTGTCTAACACTATCTTGCACTGTGAGATTAGTATTATTAAACGATAGTAGAGTATATTGTACAGAAGTATATTTTAACTAAGAAGGGCCAAGTACCTTGTGGTCTGATGACATCACTGTGGCACTCCCAAGGAGGAGGTCACAAATTCGAATCTCTTCCCAATTCAAGGATGTTGGCATTAACATTGAGCATATACTATATACGTTAGAAAGAATTGTCCAAAAAAAACTAAGATGGAGGAGTATATTTTAACAAAAATGTCTTTCCCGTTATTAGGGGGTGTTTGGATCTAATTCTTAAAATTGTTTCTGCTCCTTCAGGGAACACAAACAGATATTGAAGTATTTGGGTGAAAGTGCATAAATACTTCTGGGTGCTTTAAATTGCTCACAAAAGCAATTTTTTTAAAAGCTGGAGGGTCAGCATCTAAAAAACTAATTCTCATTATACTTCTGCTTTTAAAAAAGAAGCATAAACAAAATTAATTTCAAACACCCCCTTAGTCGAAAAATGAGGGGAGGAATCGCGAAGGGGAGTGGCGATTGGAGAAAGCGATCTGCGGAGGGCGAAGGGCGTAGCCAACGACCAACCACCTTACGAAACTCTGTCTCCGATCACCTTCCAGGATTCGGCGGGCCTGATTTGCGAGTTGCAGTGGAGGACCGGCGGACCTAATCGAGCTGTGCAGAGGAGCACCAGTCTCCTTCTACTCGGTCTACTCCAGTCTCCAGGAAGGGAATGAGGGATGCGATTGAGGCGCCGATTTGTTAGAGATGCACTCGATGGAGGCCTTAACGAGATCAGGGCAGATTCAGCCGTCCGCGTTTCATATTTGGCTGGAGTGCAGCGAAAAAGCAACAGAGAGGTCGGATGTTGAGCGACGGGAATCGTTCTCACCCCAGGCTTCATGCGCGATCGCTGGATCCAGAGACAGAGACACAAGGATTTCTTCTCCGTCGACCAGTGCAGATTTCAAACTCGTGCACAGAGGACTGTTGGAAATCTTAAGGTATTTCAAATGAATTAAATTTTACTTAATTTACGGGAAATCTTCTAAGGCTCAAACGATCAAATTTAATATTGATTTTCCATGGCCAGTCATATGTCTAATGTTTTTTACTGTTATTTTATTAAACGCTTTGAAGCTTTCAATTTTGCTTTATCTCCTACATTTATTTCTTAATTTTGAGCTGGCCGGTCTAAAACCTTTGAACTCTTGTGAATTTCCTAATTTTCCTAACATTAAGCATTTAATTAGCAAATAAATGTTTTGATTAAGTACCTCCATCATTTTTATTCATCCGAAACGGGGACAAGGACCATGTTTTATACAGAGATACCGATTTACCTTGAGCTAAAATCCTTTATTATTATTGGGTCATATATTGTTTTCTTCTCGTTAGTTCTGGTACCGGTTTTATAACCGAGAAGATTGTTATATCTTGGGGAAAATTTCCGTACGCCGGAAATAATTCCTTAGGACAGCGTCTGACGTGTCTCGAGCCACTAATATACTTTTAGTTCTTCTTAGTGATTATCTTGTTGGTCAGTTCTCGGAGCTAGATGGTCAATGAGGTCAACTTAAGCAGTGTTTGCGGTTGCTTAAAAAAAGTGCTTTTCAGCTTTTAGCTTAAAAAAAGCTAAAAAGAGTGTTTTCAAATGTCAGCTTCTGCTTAAATTAATCACTTAAAAGCTAAAAGCTGGAAGCAGGTGGAAGGGTGCTTTAAACTGCTTTTCACTTTTTCTATTACACAAAAAGTACTTATTTTACCAAACACTACCAACTTTTACTTTTTCAGAATCACTTTTTTTTCAAACACTACCAACTTTTACTATTAATCACTTTTTCCAAAATCACTTTAAAAAATCATTTTTTTAAAGTTGAAGCAATTGCAAACACTCTCTTAGTAGCAACGGTCAACACGTCGATTTTGGAAAGATAGAGCCATCAATCTAAGGAATTAGTGGCGAACAAAAATTACACCTACGGAACAGTCAGCGTGGCGGATACACCTCCTGTGACCAGTGACACCAATAGTATGGCTACACTTTTAGCTCCCAACGATGGTCAAAATTACGATATGTTTTTATAGCTTTTGTTCAAAAAGTCATTCTTTAGATAATGAAAGTTTTGGGGAAAACAATTCACCAAAATAAAGTGTAAACTTTGTTGGCGGTGACGATATAAATGGCGCGGTTATTTTTCAAATTGACTAGTGATGTGTGAATGAATAGATGGTAGATATTGAGGCTACCAAACACATTTGTGAAAAAAATGGTTTTATCCTCCTATAGTCCTATAGGGGATGATGAAATGGTTGTTCAGTTTAAGCTCACATCATATAAAATTTTATATTTTAATGACGGTTTCACTTGTTTGAGATTTTGACTGAGTTAATTGTTTAAGTTTCTCAATTGAATAAAAGTGTATTTACTTGCATTCTACTTTTCCATACCAGTATGACATATGAGGTCTTACACTATTAATGAAACATCCAGAATTTTTAGTTGTTAAAAACGTGTATATTGTTGAACGTGGTCATCCGTTTCATTTCAGATTTAACTCGTTTATACAATGCTACACTTTCCCTTTAATTGTTCTTAAAAATTATTTGATCAACTTAAGGGGAATTCTAACATTAGTGTGCTTTAAAATTATTTCTATTAAATTCCCTTTTAATACTGAAAACGTTTTTTAACTTTTGATAACCCTCTTCATAACATCTCTATAGTCATTAAATTATATGAAGTATTTAATTACTTTGTTGTTATGTTGAAGAATCGATGAACCGGTTTTTTCTATGCTTACATGAGTATATATATTTGCTGCATGTAGTGTTTTGGTGTGGTTCTTTAAAAACCGAGCGTATATTACATGCAAATAAAGGTTGTGATGAATTTTTCTTAAATAAAAATGAAATTATATGTCTGTGAATTTTAGAAGGGTTATATGCACGTGTTTTTAAATATTTAAAATTGTGGGGCTCTCAAATCAGCTAAAAGTTTACTGCATGTTACAAAGAGAGAAAGTATCTTTCTTGGTTGCCTTTTCTATGCTGGAAAATACATGTATTATATATGCACATTTATTATTTCAAATTATAGCATGCTCAACAAATACTTCTAAGAAGGAGAAAATTATATTATTTGAAATGTCCATTGGAAAAAAAATGAATTCAATGTAGATCATCGGTATTTTCGTTGTAAGGCTTATTAGCCACCTTGTGTTAATAAATGAATTCTATAAATTTTGATTGATTATTCATATTGTATGTTGAAAATAGTGGAGCATGTAATTTTCTTGATTTAATTAAATAATGTGCTTATGTGCAATTCTTTGAGCTATATTATTGCTGAAGTAGATGTGGTGAATTTTGGAGAGAGAAAAAACGTGTACACACTAAATTATGCATGCGTGATTGCTTATATGTTGTTGGTTTTGTTTTTTTGTTTTTGCTTATTTCAGTAGCAGTATTGAGTTGATATATTAATATAATAAAAGTAATTTTCAGTATTAAAATGTGAATATCCCTTATGCCTTTAATACAAATATTAAAAACGAAACACATAATGTGATTCCAAGGCTCAGTGTATGTATGCCTTAAAAAAAGGTGTGAGTTTCTTACAATTAACAAAATGTGTGTGAACCGACATAATTTAAAATGTCGAAAGATTGAGTCAATTTTTGAAATTCAAATGGGATAGTTGGAATACCTTAAAAAGTTATTGAGATACTTGAGAGATATAATTAATTATGATGTATTTGGTTGGGATTATCCGTTGTAATATATTGGCACAACGATGATATGTTTTATTGAGAAATATCCATTGTACTAGAGCGGTACAATGATGTTATAGGAGAATTATCCTTTGTACTACAATGATACAATGATGATATATATTTGATTGAGAATTATCCGTTGTACTAGAGAGTCACATCGATGTTATTTATTATTGAGAATCATCCGTTGTATTACCGGGATACAACGATGACATTTGAGTCGACTCACATGAGATAATATAAAAAAATTGTGGATATTGATTCACCCTGAAAAAGTGGTGTAATGATGTTTGAAAAATATAATTTGTCTAAATGGTTTTGAAGAATGGAATTATTTCATTAATTTTGTGAAGTCAAGGAATTAGCTACTCCTTTGACAGAATCCCTAGGACGTTAAATGATTAATTTAAACATCGAGAGAAATGGACTAATGTCACTTTGACAACAAATAGGGATGGGAACCCAACTTGTGTGATTGAAGATCCCATGAAGCAAGTTCATATGGGTAATAACAAGTCTTCTATTTGTTCTGCTAGCCTTGTTTAATAGTCCATTTCTATGGTGTAGAAGGCTAGACTGCATTTCTTTGTGAGGTTGAGTTAAAGCTCTTAATGATTGTCATAGCCCTTATGGGTGGTGTGTTAAGTGCAGGACACACTTGATGAGGTCACCTATAAGAATGTGAGGTGAGGCCGCCTCCATGAAGCATTGACAACGCTTCTAGAGCACTCAAGAAAACCAAGCACGTGCACGGCCTAGAGGCGCACAACGACATTAACGACGAGAAAGGTGGGGGTGAAAAATGATCCCCTAAGACACTGACTTACCAAAGTAGATTATTGGTTCATAGAAACTATACGTTTCACCAATAAACTCGGTATTTAAAGACTTAGGCGTCTAGGTCTGTTCAATACTACGAACACCAGATTGAAAAACTTCACTCCATATATGAACTCAATAAGGAATTGCTATTTTTAAACACTTAAAAATTATTCATTTGAAAATTGTGAGGGATTGTTGGAAATCATAAGGTATTTCAAATGAATTAAATTTTACTTAATTTACAGGAAATCTTCTAAGGCTCAAAAGATCAAATTTAATATTGATTTTCCATGGTAGTCATATGTCTAATGTTTTTTACTGTCATTTTATTAAACACTCTGAAGCTTTTAATTTTGCTTTATCTCCTACATTTATTTCTTAATTTTGAGCTGGCCGGTCTAAAACCTTTGAACTCTTGAATTTCCTAACTTCCCTAACGTTAAGCATTTAATTGGCAAATAAATGTTTTGATCAAGTACCTCCATCATTTTTATTCATCCGAAACGGTTGTTTTGGCTTCAATGCATTGGGTATATATAAATATATACTTGCCGCAGCTGAGAAAATGATTGAGATAGAAAACAACAAAACAAAATATATATCGACATGCTCGGCTGCTCACTACTAGCATTTGTGGACAAGGACCATGTTTTATACAGAGATACCGATTTACCTTGAGCTAAAATCCTTTAATATTATTGGGTTCATATATCGTTTTCTTCTCGTTAGTTCTGGTACCGGTTTTATAACCGAAGGGCTCATTATATCTTGGGGGAAATTTCCGTACGCCTGAAATAATTCCTTAGGACAGCGTCTGACGCGTCTCGAGTCACTAATATACTTTTAGTTCTTCTTAGTGATTATCTTGCAGGCCAGTTCTCAGAGCTAGATGGTCAACGAGGTCAACTTAGTAGCAACGGTCAACACGTCGATTTTGGAAAGATAGAGCCATCAAGGACAAGGGTTTCTTGGGAGGTGGAGAATACTGACCGGAATGTACGTCCCATTTTCACAAACTCGGGGTTCTCCATCAATAACTGGGTTTGAGGTTACGATTGAAAGCAAATTATTTCAATGTACTGTTATTGATTGTAACTTTGTAAGTTTGTAACCTTATGCGAATTTCTGAAATGAAGAAGGGAATCACATCTGCCATTGACCTCGATTTAGCTAAAGCTATTTGGTTGAAGAATTCCATTCGCAAAATTTATCGGGGAATTTGGGAACTAGGAAGGAATTGAATAAATCTATTATCATGCTCTACGGTGCAAATTTCTTTGGAGGTTTTATTCGCATATTTGAGAATGGAAATGATAATTTGTTTATACCTGAAGGTCGGAATGGATTAGGGTTCAGTTGTTTTCTCACAGGATTTACAAAATCAATTGCTTTGATGAAAGAAATCATTGCAAAAAGAACGATGTAGATTGAACAAGTTACTAGGGATGACTTTTCGGTTAAAGCCGATAGCAACTTTGGGTTGGAGCTTCTGAACTTGGATCGGGCTTTTCCTTATTCTGGTGAAATTATATCTTGCATTTCAAGTGTCTTAATACAAGCTGATATTGATCAATTAGTAAATCATGCACTATATTTGGTTTCTGTTGAGGATTTTCAATGCTCGGATAACACTTGAAGTGCTGTTGTGATTCGGGATACTTCATAGGGGACATCTACTTTTGAAACCAAGGAGATAGATGTGACAGATATCATTGAAACAAATCCTCTTCGAGTTTGTTTTACACCTCGCACTAAATCTCTATTAGTGGACAAAGTGGTTTCTCCTCAAACTGCAAATTTGGAACCTAATGCTTTGGGTGGAAAAGATCTTGATGTTACGCCTTTTCAAAAGATACTTTCAGATCGTGAGCTACTAGACCGTGTTGCTGACACTGAATGTGACTCAGCCAGTTCTAGATCGCTACATCGACGGAGTGCTCGTCTCAAGGCTAAAAAATTGGCTGGAACATATGGTCACTTCTATCTTTACAGATTTAGCTTTTGGATATTTTGGGTATTTCATCTCTTTCAGTCATCTCAATACAATTCGATGGGGAGCTAATCGTTTTTGCTTTAGGGATTTGCAGGGCCTTTGGGATAGTTCACTTATTAGTGTTTTTGTTTCTTTCATCATCATTTTGTATTACTCTTCGTAATAAAATTTTAATAAATTTTCGCTTAAAAAAACACCCCCTTAGTCGTGTAACTTTGGCCACTTGGAGATCTGTTTTCTAACTAATTAATCCATCCATTTTAATGAGTTATTGACCTGAAAGTACACTTTCCGCCAAAAACACTATAGGGAAAGACATTGCCAACATAAAAAATCCGTCGAAAAGTGTACTTTCCGGCGGAAAAGGCTTTGATGTTGACAAATTCATTTGTTGCAAAATCAAATTTGCAAGTGACAAAAGATACAAGATAAAAAATGGACACACTCGAAAATTAGAGGACTAACATTACAAATCTCCCTTCTAATAATGCTTATTGGATGTGGTGTGCCACATACTATGTTGCACAATCACACATACATGGACACCGATTCACAAATGCGCGTACAATGATGCCTCAAGTTTGAAAAAAAATGAATACATGTACAGTGATATATTATAAAAATGTTGATGTCAGGAAGGCCTGATCAGGACCGTCGTCCGGCCGCCTCCATTTGAGGTGTTTCTGAGTGGAATTTTTAATACAATTTTGTGAGCATGTTCTTGAAATTTTATATGAAAGCCAGTTAACTAAATTATTAAAAAACATGTGTTTTATATATACTTTGGCGCAATGTTTTTAATAATTTATTTAGACGGCTTCCAGATTAAATTTTGAATTGAAATTTTTTGGACATAATCAACAATTCACGAAGAATATGCACTCACAAAGTTTCATAAAAAAAATTCATACAGAAGCATCTCCGATAGAGGTAGCCGGACAAGAGTTTCGGTCAGGATGGCTTGACAAGAATATTACTATAAATGTGTGTGCGTGTAGGGTGAGGTTCAAATAAGAAGAAACATTTATGTATGTGTATATGTATACACACACACATACACATACACATGTATTTACAAAACTGTTACGCACATAGATGCATATTTCAATGTAACATTTCAACGGCTGAGATTCAGTATCATTTCTCACCTAAAGGCTTGTTCTTATTTGAATCTCACGCTATATTGTTTGTGTGTGTGCGCGCGTGTTTGTATGTACTAGCTTTTATACGCGCATTGCGCGATAACAAATGCTCAAAATTAAAACTGTGAACAAATACAATTCATTTGTACGATGTACTAACTCCGTCGCATTTTATGTGTCTCACTTTGACTTGGCACAATTATTAATAAAGTGGTTGAAAAAGTAAAAGTTGTGATTCATGAGATTTAAGTATAATAAAGTGAAATGGTATAGACCACATATTTCTTTCCAAAAGAGGAAATGAGAAACTTATTTTGGGACAACCCAAAAAGGAAAGTAGGATAGATAAAATGAGACGAAAGTAGGACAAATAAAATGAGACGAAAACAGTATGTATGCAAAACAAATTATATCTCTTTTTCTCTTAATTAGGCTTGAACCAAGAGAATGCACTATAACCTCATTAACAATAGAATTTACAATTTGTTTTATACCCTAACTTCATGTGATTCATAGTAATAATATTGTTTTAACGTCATTAACAAATTTTTTATTTCGTTGTTTGAAATTTAAATAAATATAGCAAACTTAATTAACTGCAGATAAACTATGTACGAATTGAGTACGCCTAGGTAAAACCCAGCCTAGTGAATGTGTAAACACATTATGTGGATAACCAGGTTAATCAAAATAATAGAGTAAAACTGTAACAACTAAGTTTGCTTTGATGAAAACAAAATAAGGTGGTGTCCCTTCGGAAACATCCGACACAAAGAAAATTAGCTTGACCCTTGCGCAAGGATGATACTCACAAATCGAGAACTGGTCTGAAAGGAAAACAAAATAAGGTGAATATATAAAAATTAATTATAAAACTCATAACATCTGAAATCTTAAATTCAAAGGTACTTTTTCAAATCTGGATTATTGAAGGCAGGGGGTTCTAGACGGTCAAACAATATTTATTTTTGAAATACAATTTTAATACTCCGTATTTTTTTCTAGGGATAGTAAGACGGTAAAAAAAGTATAGCATAAAATTGAAAGGAGTCGTACGTGTATCCAGATAAAAATATTAGTGGTGGTAGGTAAGAAATATTTTTTTGATAATCTTTTACACAATTTTTTATACATAATTAAGTACAACCGTTTTACAAATTTGGGGTGGGATGTATCTAAAATGACCCCCTAATTACACCCTGAATAGAAGTAAAGTACAATAATTCAATGTGTACTATATGTAATTGCGCCCCTCAATAGAAGTAAAGTACAATAATCCAAAATGTACCAATATGGAGATTCTAATTGTCCATTCTTCTTACTTTTTGAAGAGCGAAATTGAATTGATAAGAACATCAACGCAATCAATAATAGTTGGAACTTTTTAATCGGGGTATGTAAGACCGATTCATCGCTTTCGACAAACTTCCCAAGGGTTATCATATCCATCCTTGTGCTTTAGAGCCCCCAGGCTTGATTAACTTAGATTCTTGTTGAGCACCCCCACCGTTCACTATTATATTAATACAGTTCTGAGTGGTGGGTGGACAAGGGAGTTTGCATGGTTGCACCACACCGTAGTGCGAACAGGTCGAGCGGTTAGTCCTCGGCCAGTTACCTTTTCCCGAATCAAAGGGTGATTCTGATCTCACATAAGACCAACAAGGTAATATAGTGATCCCAATTATTCCATCATAAAACATGCTTGATCGTGAATAGTTTTTGTTTATCAACTTTAGTTTTAAATTATTATTATTATTTATATAAAATAAATTATTAAATGTCTGTAGTATTATTTTTTAAAATGGAGGTTGTAGACAACTTTCTAGGCTACGTCCGCCTAAATCAATAATTTTGTGGTCCGATGACATTATTATGACACTCCCAAGGAGAGAGAGAGAGAGAGAGAGAGAGAGAGAGAGAGAGAGAGAGAGAGAGAGAGAGAGAGAGAGAGAGAGAGAGAGAGAGAGAGAGAGAGAGAGAGTTTAACAAAAAAAACTAAAGCCGGACTTGATTGAAGAAGCACGGAAGTTCTACGGAGTAACTCCAAGTTGTCTAGAAATGTGGTCTTGTCATAAAATAATACTTCATCCGTTCTTTTTTAGTTGTATCATTCTCATTTTCATGTTTGTCATTACACAACTTTGACTATAGTTATATTTAATTATCTATTAGTAAAAAATTAAAAATTATATTATGAAAATTTATAATGAGACCATTTCAACAAAATTTGAAAACTAATTCTCATAATTATTCATGTTGCAATTAAAAAAAACAAAAGATAGTAATACTTAAAAATGAAGTAAATGGTAAATACATTATTTTTCCTAATAATATAAGAGTTTTTTCTCGAAATAATGTTAATTAAATAAATAATTCCTAAAATACTGCCGGGTTAAAAATAATTCCCAAAATACTGTTGGGTTAACCGTAGTTAAGAAAAGCCGTCACTTGAAGTGGCGGCTTTACTAAAGAATAAGCACGCAACAAAGCAACGCCAAAGATAACAAATATGGTAATGGGTCCCACCCTAATTTAAAATCTCCTCTTTTCTTTGAAGTGTTGTAACTTTTTTATTTGTCTTCTAATTATTACAAAAAATATACCAAAATTCATAACTTTTTATTATCTTTCATATGACACCAATATTGAATATATGAAAATCAAAAAATAATTTAACACTTTAAAAATCTATGCATATCTGTTTTTAAAGTGCTATATATTTTTTATTTGTATTCTGATTATTACAAAAAATATACCAAAATTCATAACTTTTTATTATCTTTAATATGACACCAATATTGAATATATAAAACCAAAAAAGTAACTTAACATTGTAAAAATTTATGTGTATCCGTTTTTAAAGTGCTATATTTTTTTTGTATTCCGATTATTACAAAAAATATATCAAGGTTTATAATTTTTTATTATCTATTATAGGAAAGCAATGTTAGATACATAAAAATAAAAAGAAAATCTAATAATTTTTGTAGTTTAGTATCGTTTTTATCATGCACACAATTAATCAAGAGTGATAGATTAAAATAAAATTACACAAACTCCATCACATTTATTTATTTAATTTTGGCACGACAATCTATACTATTTTATGTCATAAGTCACCAATATTGAATATATAAAAAATTCGAAGTGCTTGGTAAAAATGATAATAAACTACACAAATTAATAGATTTTATTTTTCCATCTGAAACATTGATTTCCTATAAAACATAATAAGTTTTGATATATTTTTGTAATAATCGGAATAGAAATAGAAAAATATATAGCACTTTAAAAACAGATACGCATACATTTTTAAAGTGTTAAATTATTTTTTGATTTTATATATTCAATATTGGTGTCATATGAATAATAATAAAAAGTTATGAATTTTGGTATATTTTTTGTAATGATCAGAATACAAATAAAAAATATATAGCACTTTAAAAGCAGATACGCATAAATTTTTAAAGTGTTAAATTATTTTTTTTGATTTTATATATTCATTATTGGTGTCATATGAAAGATAATAAAAAGTTATGAATTTTGGTATATTTTTTGTAATAATCAGAAGACAAATAAAAAAGTTACAACACTTCATAGAAAAGAGGAGATTTTAAATTGGGGTGGGACCCATTGCCATATTTGTTATCTTTGGCGTTGTTTTGTTGCGTGCTTATTCTTTAGTAAAGCCGCCACTTCAAGTGGCGGCTCTTGTATTCTGAGAGTGGCGACTTTTCTTAACTACGGTTAACCCAGCAGTATTTTGGGAATTATTTTAAACCCGGCAGTATTTTGGAAATTATTTATTTAACTAACATTTTTCCGAGAAAAAACTCATAATATAAACTCTAATTTTATTGTGGATATAGGAACCCACCGAGCAAGTTAGTTAGATGTTGAAATATTAAAATAGAAACAATAAGTTGTTTTGTTAGGCAATTATAACACCTCATTATCTAAATATGAATAAGTATCTTATTAATATATGAAACAGAGATTGAAAAATCATGTCGGTCATTACTTAACGGAATCAGCATGGTACTTATGACCATTGAAAAATTAAGTACATTACTTTTATAAAAGAGTACAAGTTAAAATGCACACAAGAGATTGACATAATATAGGGCTACCAACCAAAATTCACAATTATAAGGTTTTTAGATGTATGCATGCATGCATACATGCATGCATGCATGCATGCATACATGCATGCATGCATGTATGTATGTATGTACAATAGTTTTATTCAAATGCTTCACAAATAAACAAAGGGTACCAATTCGCGCAATCATGTAAAAATTCAAAACTAAAATTTGAAATATGAAATATTATAATCATAGTCATACTTGAATAATGTAGACTGAGCATTTATATTTTTTGAAACTATATTTAGTCACATTATTTAACAATACATGTTTCAAACTTAATCCATCATTTGAAAGATGAGTAATTTCAATACTCATACATCTTCTATCATATGTGTATGTATTATTTTTAATATGTGTATCAGTCTAGGAATATGGCATCTGAATTTTTTCTTTCATGAAAAATAGGTCAAATACTTTTATAGAATAATGTAAGAGGCCTGATGTGTACAATAGTACAATATGTGAATCAACGAGTATCGTTATCGAATGCGTACCAAAAAGAGAATACAACATGTGCCCGGTGGCGGAGCCAGGAATGGTAGGGTAGGGGCGAGGCTTAAAGAATTTATGTTATGGTGCCAAATCTTAAAATTTAACTATTTTTTACTATCTATAAATAATTATACATATGTATATACATCACAACTTTGGAGAGGGGGGTACCTTTAGCCTCCCCTGTCTCCCTTCCTTCATGTGTCATATGACCCATATCTATGCGTGGTAAGCATGTACTCAATTGGGTTCCTCAAAATGATGGAGTTCTACTCCCGCATTCCCTGAAGTATAGTATGTGTCACACAATTTTTGTGCACCATAACAATAGTAATATCCCATATTTACATAGAGTAAGTGAATGAAATTATAAAACTTGTCCAAGTTTGATTACTTCAAACTTCAACCACCACATTGATGTGTCTCCCTGTTTATACTTTATAATCTTTCATAGCTCTCTATCAACCCGAATCAAACTGCAAAGCCTTGTTCCGGGGAGTTTGGCTTATGGCGTCGACTGCTTTGGGTTACTTGTCAGCTCCGCTGGTGTTAGGTCCACTCTGTTATAGCTTCAGATTTTGCTCTCTTTTCAAAAAAGCGTCTCCCTTGTCTTCTAAATCTACTCGACTTTCTACTGCTAGAATTATCACTTCATCAACCGCCTTTGTGGATGACAAACCAGTAAATCTTCTATGTTTTCCTTTCAATTATTGAAGGACACTTTGAAATTATAACACTTTTTGACTTTTCATCTGAACTCGTGCACCACTTACAGATTTGCGAAAGTTGGTCCTTGTATTTGAAATTATGGTTATTGTCTCTTTGAATTTGTAATATGTAATATGGTCATGCTCAAATTAAATGTATATCTACACCCTTTGACCCTTTGTCATTTAAGAAATCAAGAATTATTGCGTTACTTGTATTTTTTACGATTCTTCATCCATAAATGATGCACTAGTGCAAATACGAGAAAAACATAGTTATGTACATGAATAAAACTAAGGATTCCTTCTGCCATAAATGAAAAATAAAAATTGAGTGAATTTCCGAAATAGAACTAAAAGAAGTACAAAGTGTGTTAAACATTACACCTAATAGGACTAAACATTACATTTCTACACTTAATTTAACTAATTCCTCCCTAGTTCCCTTGCATAACTGTGGTCAGGCCATTGGTGGTGGCAGTGATCCCGAGGGCGGGAATGTGGCAACAGACCGGCGGCGACCAGCCAAAATCTTCCGGCAGTCCGGCGACCCGGGGATAGAACTGCTCCAACCCTACAAGGGTATTTTTTGTCCAACCACAAATAAAAAGTCTTATTTATAGAGTTTTAAATATTAGGTCCTATTTTGGGAAAATGATCTTGTTTTGGTCCTATTTTAGTAAATATCCCTAAAAGTTAAGTTTTTTTTAATCTAGGATTGAATGATTCCAAATTTAGAAAAAACTAACGGTCTTACTAGAAAAATGTTACGTAGTACTATGTATGTTTTAGTCTAATGTGTGGAGTTTCTCTAAATGTTGTGCTTTAGGGTTGATAAGGTCCAAAAGACAAAGGATGAAATAAGCTAAGTAAGAAATAAAATAAGTGGAAATATTAGAATATGAAAAAGTAGGGTAAAAATATGAACTAAAAATAAGAACTGGTGGATTATAAGATGTAACTTTTGCTTCACGTAGACTTTAAAGAGGGCATGGAGGGAGAGTATACGTGTGGAGGATTCATCTTATATTTTTTGTCTCCCTCCTCTAATGAATGTTTTTAACTCCGTCATCATATATCGATTCATGTTAGCCGACCCCAAACTCTTTTGAGAACGCGGCTTGAAAGTTGTTACAGACCAATAAAATAATTAAGAACGTCCAAAATGATCTTCACTTTTTTATCATGCCCTTAAACATTTAGAACCACACTAATATACATTATAAATAGGACCTAAGGGAGCTCTAATCATATTATGTTATGTTGTATTTTTGCCTTGGCATTAGAAGTTATTGATATTTACTCTCTAAAAGATAGAAAAGATAGTGTATCTTTTACTTTCCAAAATTGTTATAAGCTATAGGGCTAAATTCTCAAAATGAGTGCCAAAATATGGATTCATCCAAAATTTTCTACCATAATAGTATTCACATTATTATTTGTGGTCATAATCATCTTATTGGTGATCAAACATTTTTAGGATCGATTTATAAAGGAAAATGAGGCGGACTTGCGGACCAACATTCTAGCTTGTCCCATTTGCTATGACCCCTTCATTTGGAATGGTGATTCACAACCATCCATGTAAGTTATATAAGTTTTTACTTTTCCGTTAACCATATGTAAGCTATTCCGTATTCATATATTCTTTATAGTGTATCTTTTGGAATGACCGAATGAGAAGCTATCTTATTGAGTACATTATTGTCATGATATTATAATTGAATGGGTTATTGTTCCAGGAATTATGTTGCTCAGCCCAGTTTAGAGTGCAACACTTGCCGAAAGGCATACTCAAGCAATGATACACATCTTGACTTGACAATTGCTAGTGGTGGAAAGGCTTACGGGGAAATTCTAGCAGCTTCTACTGAGCTTTTTAGGTATCATTGCCGATTTTCCTTTTCTTAGTAAAGAAAATGAAGGTGGGGATTAGAACACACCCTTTTAATTTCATGATATGAACATGGGTCCGAGTGAATAAACTTGCTACAAAATTTCAATTTAAGAAAATGAAGAACACAATTCCTACTTCAAAAGAAAGTTGGTAAAAGTCTTTTCGATTGGAAAAGAAGGGAGAGCAGTACATGGCATTTATGCTCACCTCCATATATTTCAAAGGTGTGTTATGTGCAGTGTTCTATGGGAATGCAAAATTGGGAGAAAGTCAGAAATTAGAGCTGATTTTTTTTGGTGAATTTCAGACAAATTAGGCCCTGAGTTCCCAACATCATACTGCAGTTGTTTTTATAGATACCACAATATATGTTTAATATTATTGATTATTTAACAATAGAAAGATAAAAGATTGAACCATAGGAAGAGACATAACATAATTGATTGATACCATTTGGGAATTGTGGAGTAGTACGAGTATATATATATAGAGTTGGGATCAAATAAAAAGAGTCCATTATATGAAAAGTGAGAATGCATCACAACCATTCATCTTACCATCCGGATCGTATGTGTTTTATTACGTCAAAAGGACTTTTACGTCATTCTAGATTTTCAGTTATTTTGATCACGTCTTCTCTTTCCCCATATCATTTTCGGAAGTGGAACTCCATATTTGGTAATTCTGAAATTGCCAACGCTGCATTATCTTCTCATCATATGATTTTGATATGTCATTTCTTCTTTCTCCATCGTAATGACTATATATCTTGATATGCTATTTTTTATTTTCCTGATTTGTTTTCTAGTATTTTTTTATTATTGTAAATCCAGTTTAAAAATTTTGATTTTGTACTTTTCAAAACCTTCAAATGAATTATTCAATCTAGTTGTTTTTTGTTTTGCACTTTTTTTTCTTTGTCTTTGGAAATAATATGAACTCTACTTTTGTGTAATTATGTAATGTTATTTTTCTTCACTATTGGTAGTGGGTGATATTCACATATTCATTTCATGATTTTTTAAACATGTTTTATCCAAAAATTCTATTCTTCAATCATTTTTTGTGCTATTCTTCGTGACTTTGATGCTATATCTCAATTTTGTATATCTCCTTTTTTGGTATATTATGCACATTATTGTATGCGGCTTTACTAGGAGAACTTGCTGCATTTATCCTAGGAAAATCTGCACTTATGTACTCAAAGACTGCTGTTATCCAACCTTCTTTTGATGCAATCGCACCTAAAGAATATAACGTTCTCCAATCCAACAAGCGAAAAAGAAAGTATAAGTGTGACATATTAAAGGAAGCAAAGAGGTTGTGATTGAAGACAACAAACAACGTTTAATGTTTTGCAGAACTAGCAATCATATGTGTCATTATGTAATGTATTTGTGCAAAAATATATTCAATATTTCAATATAACTCATTGTGAATCATTAATACTATATAAACACTATCACATGCTAAGCAAAGTGATATAAACTGCACTTTTCCGTATGTTTTGTGCTATTCCTCAGTTTTCCTTGTGCAATTAAAATATTTAACCCAATCAAATATTCCATATTCACTATCACATGCTAGCTAAAGTCCCTTTTCTGCACTTTTAGCCCTTTCTATATCACTCATGCATGCCACTGTTGCAACCTGATATATCAAGAAGAAAACTAATCTCCTTCTCTAATAACCTCGACACCTTCAAGAAGGTGATACACATACCATTGGAATTTTTATAAGAGAATATGATTTCATTTTAATTAATGCACTTCCAAATCTAGAAAGAACTGTATGAAGAATGTAATGGCGAGAAATTTGAGATTTGTGCCGACATGTGTCCAATTACCCATAAAAGGTAGTTTTTTTTTACTTTTCTGCCCTCCCGCATCTTATGATAGCGGCATATGCAAATAGTAGGAATGGTACGCTACTATACAGACCATGGTATAATTTTGGACTCCACGCATCTTGTCCATCCGTTATCAAAATCCAACCGCCACGGCTCATTCTTATTTTGCATGTAAAGAGATCTTTGTAGTCGAACCTAACCCTATATATATATATATATATATATATATATATATATATATATATATATATATTAGCCATACAGGCCTAACATTTTTTGGGGTTGAATATTTTATTTGCAAAACAAAATGTTTTATCACTTGGTTGGGATTGAATTTTGGGTTTTATTTAGTAAGCTTCATAGAGTTCATATTTCATATGTTGCAGCTTTGCATTTCATCTCATTTTGTGTTGTTCATTTCCTCTTCATTTGACTCCATGTGATTATGTAACTCCAGTCTTTGTTGAATCAGGGTTCCTTTGGTATCCTTTCTTTATGAAAGAGGTTGGCGGCAAAGCTTTTCTTTGTGGGGTGGTTTTCCTGGCTCAGAAAAAGAGGTTGCATTGAAGCTATTGACATACTATCTAAAGTTTATTACTTTAGCTTAACCAAGAAAATTATGATTGATAAGGTGGTAAATTTATTCAGAAAAGCGTAATAATCTTAAGATGGAGTATTCTGGTGCATTTTAGAACAGACAAAATGCATATTAGAAGGAAAAATGAAACAAAAATGGTTCCTTGCAGTTTGAGTTGATGAAAGAGTATCTTAAGCCTGTCATGGGTGGAAATATCATTGATGCTAGTTGTGGGAGTGGCTTGTTTTCAAGACAGTTCGTCAAGAGTGGACTGTTTTCTCTTGTTGTTGCTTTGGACTTTTCAAATGCCATGTTGCAGCAATGTTATGAATTCATCAAGCAAGAGGAGAACTTTCCTAAGGAGTATGAATGCATTTTGTGGATTTTTTTGTAAAGTTTCTATCATTACATATGTATTTTAATACACAGGGCTTTGATTTCATGAAGGAACATAGTATTGGTTAAAGCTGATATTTCAAGACTTCCATTTGCATCAAGTTGTGTGGATGTTGTGCATGCTGGTGCTGCCTTGCATTGTTGGTCGTCACCATCATTAGCGGTAGGCTTCTCTGAACTTCTTCTTATATCCTTGTTTTTCTTCATTCACACAATAAATAATACTACATACTTAACTGCTATAATTTAAAAACAATTACATATATGATTATAATAAAGATTTTTTACAAAAATGTGACTAGAGTCTATAGTAGTAACCAAATCATTGAAACATACGTTCAATTTTTAAACTTAAGTGAGCATGAAATTATATTGTAGCAATTGAAGTCATATTTGTGTAAATACGTTTTATTTTAGTAATATTTTTTAAACAAACCTTATAATTTATATTATGTTTTTTTAATGTTGTTGCCTTTAGTCGATACAAGTGCTTCTTGTTATTACTGTTGTTGTTGTTGTTACTATTATTATTATTATTATTATTATTACTATTATTATTATTATTATTATTATTATTATTATTATTATTATTATTATTATTATTATTATTATTATTATTATTATTATTATTATTATTATTATTATATCCATATGGATTTTGTATATCCGCACTAATCTATGTTTGTTTTTAAATATTATTGCTTTCACAGGTAGCTGAGATAAGTCGTGTATTACGGCCTGGGGGGCTATTTGTTGCCACGACCTACATTGTGGATGGCATCTATTCACTTATCCCATTCTTGAGACCTTTACGTCAGGTCAATGCGTTATTTTGTCTCGGTCTGTCGAATTATATTAGGGACATAAGTTCCTTCCACTGTTATTAATGGGAGATGACACATTGCACACATATATTCTTCGATTTGATGCCTTCATAGACCATCTTACTTTTTTCACACGATCTACCATAGTCACCACATAGCAACATTTGCTCCTTTCTCTATAGGAAAAGATGTGCATCTTTATATAATTATAAACATTTATAAAATTGTTGGAAACCATATGTTCTAAAAGCTTAAACTAGTAGTTTTCATGGAGTACAATTCATATTATTTAAAATTTTAAATATTTTATTCCAGACTCAACATTTTGCGGGTTTCATATCTTGTGTTATGTGAGTCCAGAATTTCGCTCAAGTCTCGGGAAGTCACATATTCTTGAATGAGAACGAACTTGAAGATTTGTGCACTGTTTGTGGGCTTGTGAGGTTTAAGTGCATCAGGAATGGACGTTTCATCATGCTCTTTGCCATGAAGCCTAGTTGATCGTTTTGGTTATCAGTTTGTTAAACTATTGTACGCTATTTTATTTGGATGTTTTCCTATTGATTATGAAAAAAGTTGTTTTGTCCAAAAGATCTGCAAAAGACTAAATATGCTATCACTTTTGAACTCTAATCATGTATTTATCAATGCTCAGGCAAACGTACACATATATGTAATGCCCATATTCCTCTACAGAGTCGTCTTTTTCAAATTCTTATTAGTTAGAAATATAGAATAAAGAGTTCACTTCAGACATGTGGTAGTGTTGAATGTATTTGCTTAATGTATAAGAAAAACTTTGAAAGTACTCATTCAAGTGTAAATCTCTCTAGTCTTTGAGTATTCCATATGCATATTACTACTAGGTAAATACTCTTATGCTTCACATTATTGCTCTTATAAGTAGCATCTTTTCAGAGCTGAATTTTCCCATTTCTAAGAGTTGCATTTTTCATGAAAGCTCTCATTTGAGCATGTTCTTTATCTATTGGGTAGGTACATTAGAGAATAGAGTAGATGTAAGGACAAGGCCCATTGTAGTTCCAATCACCATGACATCCTTTGATAAAGGTGATGGTTGTTTCTATTTCGAACAACAATTATTTGGGTGTCCTTGAGAACCGCTGGTATGTACAACACAAGGTAGGGCAAAATAAGATATGCATTCTAAAGATCTAGCCAAAACACACATACTTGTTATGTGCTCCTTAAGAGTATGCTTTATTGAAATCGGAGTAACCCCAACTCAATCTAACAAAAACAAACCAGTGATGAGTGATGGTGAAAATAAATGAGCAGAACCCAGAAATCACAAGGATTTCATAGATAGGGATTCTTTATGTCACAATCCACATGAATGAAATATAATTGATGAGTCATTAATAGAGGCACCCCCCTCTTGATTCATTTCATATCTATGTTTGGGGTCTACAAGTGTGTCAAATTTACACTATGTTCTGTTATTTGATATTTATGGAAGTCTCGTCTTGACAAATATGACCACTTTTAATGAAAGAACGATTTGAATTAATTCAACCATTTTCAATTTTTTGTTCTAAAATTCAAACTCGTTTTGTTTGTTTTTATTAAAGTCATTGATAGTTCCAAGAATTCTTTTCAACATCTTATATTCAGTTCCTAACTTCTCCGAAGAATGCTCTACCACTCTCAAAAAATTGTGTTGCTAAACTTGAGAATCGTCATCTTGTTGATACTTGATACCGCTCGCTCTTTCTTATTATATGTCACCTGATCAATGTCTTTATTTGTGAGTGTATTGGGCTGGGCTCACTTTGTGTTGTTAGCCCTAGTTGCAGGTATTAATATAGACCTTGTACAATCAGTTAGAACTCGTTTGGTGACCATGTTTTCGGCTTATTAGTCTTATCAACTAACTTTTTCGCCAAACACGTAATTTTTTATTTCGCGTACTGAGTTGTGTAATAATCAAAATAAGTAAGGTTGTAGTTACTTTTATGGCTTGATTGGCTAAAGCTACTGTAGATGACCATTTTAGCTATTATGATATTTTTTTTAATTTTATTAATAAACTATATTTTGAATATAATTTTTGTAGAATTCAGCAGAATCAGTCGATTCAACCACTTCAGACAAAAATCCATAAACTTTAGCAAAATAAGCCGATTCAACCAATTTCAACATTACCAAACGGGCTGTTATTGTATCAATGAGAATGAAAGTCTTATATTTCACCATTTGAAATTTTGGCAATAGAAAGTGTTAGTATATTTTCTTCCTTATATCAACCTGTTTGGTTTACCTGGGCGACTAGGGTGTGGTGTTACAGTTGAACAACCCATCAACCCATGGGTTCTGACAGTTTTCATGAAGAAGAGAGTAACATTTGATGTGACATAGGAAGGGGATACAGTGATGGTCATGGACGATGATAAAGTACAAATGATAGGATATTTTATTCGCGTCCAATCTTATTGTTTGTTTTTGTATTTGCGTTATAATAGCTTTATTTATTTCATATGGACTGCTCTAGTATTTAAGCCCATTTACTGTTATGTAATATGTAAGTTAACATCCTTACCTATAAAAGGAAGGCCAACTTACATAAACTCTAGGCATCTAGGTAGAGAGAGACAGATAGCCACACTTATGTATTCATACCTTGAGCTGTATTGATAAATCATTCTGTTAGAGAGCGGGAGCTCTTGTATTGAATATTCACTTCATCTGTTCTCTACTCCATTCTTAAATGTGATTGTTGTATTGAAAGGGGACAAACAACAAATGATGGAGACCATGGAATTAAATCGAGAGGCCTTTAAGAGAAAAATATAAGACATAATAACTATAAAATCAGTGTTTGTCATTGGCATTATTGCGTCACAAAGAATTGTCAATTTACAAATGTCATAGATGGTCTTAGAGGAAGGTGAAGGAGTGAGTTTACCTTCACTTGTCAAGCCTGATCGGGCTGAACTTGCAAGTATACAAGTGCCGATATAGTAATAAAATACCGGTAAATACCGGGTCGATCCACAGGGAAATGGTTGATATTATAAAGTCGAATATTGAATGCAAAGCATATAAGTGATATAATTTTTTCAGGAACTTTGTTCTTGAGATTGATTTAAACAAGAATGAGAATTACTAAGGCAATCGGGATTCACCTAAATGCTTTAATAGTTATTTAATAATAGTTCTTCCCCAATAATCATGAATACGATGTCGCTAATATGTTCTCAACTCCGGTTAAGGCAGCGAGAGCGTGGTTTTCGTTACGTGTAAGTCCCGTTACGGCTTACAATCATCTACCGAAAACCCCGTTGAATATCAAGACATCATAACCGTATCATATAAGACCGGATATATTTCTATTCTCGGTACTATATATGTTTATCCTTTAATGTTCATAGTTTAGACTTCAACGTTAATTGCAAGCATAAACTAAATTTAACATACTTCTATGTTGTACACCATAGTCATAAACAATCAAAATATAAAAGATAAATCACAATTTATTGGTTTAGAACTTTTATCAAACACCTAATATGCATAGATGTTCATCCCGAGCCTTAGCTTAGAAATTAGCCTCTAATGCTCATATTCATCACAATACAATATTGAAATGTAATGGAACATGAAATTACAAAGGAAATAATACCTAAACACCAATGATTTCGGAGGTTGAAGTTTCCTCCTCAAGAACTTGAAGAAAATACCAAGAACAAAAAAATAAAAGCTAGGAATTAATCTATGGAATGGAATGTCATTGCTTGATGAATTGAGGGCTTTATATAGACTAAAGAATGACATCTTTTAGTATATTCGAGCCCAACAATCAGGTATGGAGCAATATTTGATCAAGAGATGAGGAAGGTGAAGTTTTCCCATAAAAAATCCTCTTGCACGTTGCTGTGTTTTAGCAGAAAATCGTCCCAACCGGCCCCGGTCTCAAACAGGCTCGTTTAGTGCAAAAATACCTTCCTACCGGCGCCGGTTCTTGGCTGACCGGCGCCGGTTGCAGCGCCCAAAAATGTACTTCGTCTTTCTTCCTCCGAAATGGATCAAAAAGTGTCGGTTTTCGTACCGGGATTTTGGGAATGTTCGGCTATGAATTTGAACATGATTCCTTCACCAAAGTTGTAGATAATGAAGTCTTCTATCCACCAAAACTTGAATGACGTGATTTTATTCATCCAATCAAACGTTATGGCTAAAACACTGAGAGGTATGCATCCTGAAATCCCACCAGCAACATCTGACTTTGTTGGTTGATTGAGTCTTGTTCCTTTCATATTTTGGCCATGACGTCTTCATAACATTTGTATCTTATTGAGTTAACATTCACATGAAATTCGAATCGAGTGATTTCGAGTTCTCTACAATACGTTATACTCAAATTATGGGCAGAACGTCATCCTCTTGGTCTAAAAAACCGCTCATCACAATGTTTTATGCCTTAGCTCTCATTCTGAAGGTATTTGCCCGATTTCTCTTCTTTTCTTCAACAAATACTTATAAATACTTATGTTAAACACAAGTAAATATAACGGCTATCAAAGCCCTTACCAAGATCGGAGAAGGGTGGTCATGATGTAGCCATATTTTGTCATGGCAATGCTCGTCCTGTTTTGTAAGCTGGGCAATGATGGAAAGATGATATTATATTAATGATACATTAAGGTTATGATTATTAGTAAAGAGCACATTAATAATTGCTTTCGTCCTTATTGAGTTAGTATTAACTAGATATTTTTAGAAATAAAAACATGAAATGTGCAAACACATAATAAAAATAGTTTTTTTAATGAATTTACGATTGTTATTCCTCTAAAATCTAAATACTTTTTTTTATTATTATTACTATTATTATTATTATTATTATTATTATTATTATTATTATTATTATTATTATTATTATTATTATTATTATTATTATTATTATTATTATTATTATTATTATTATTATTATTATTATTATTATTATTATTATTATTATTATTATTATTATTATTATATCTAGATGTTTGTTTTGTCTTTACACGAGATTGCTGGTGTGCATGTATGTTGCACAAAAATACTTTTTTTCATAGTTGTTCCCTAGATTTCCATGTCTGGACGGGTTGTTCTTAACTCTGTGTTGTATTGAGATTAATATTCTTGATCTTTATTTTGTTGGGTGTGTTTCGGAAAATAAAGAAAATTAATTAAAATAAATTAATTAAAATAAAATGACTAGAGAAAAACAAGAAAGGAGCTGAAGCAGAATTAGTCAAAGCTCGTGCATAGCACGATGTCCTTAAAACGTATTTGTTGCCTCCCACGGTGCTAGGAGCGTTGCAACAATCGTTTCCCAGGATACGATGACTACGAACTAGTGTTTGAGCACACAAACAAGAGTTCCAGCGAACGAGAACACAGTATGAACACTTAGGGAATTTTCAGATTGCTAGAGGTGTTTTAGAGCTCAGAAATACGTGAGGAATGTGTATGAACGTGTAAGTTCGTGTGTTGTTGCAAAGCACCTACCAGCCTTTATATAAGAGGATTAGTTGTGTGTAAATGGTGAATTAATGGACCTGAATGTTGGACATCAATGACCAGTCCGTTGGGCATTGAATCGTCCATGAACTGTCCATTTAACGCTACATTAAAAGATAAGAACGTTGGGCATCTATTGCTGTAACGGACAGAACGCGACCAGAAGACCTCCCAACAGAACACCCCCGAGGTGTTCTGTCCGAAGCCAACAGAAACCCATTTGAGGTGTTCTGTTCGAAGCCAACAGAACCCCTACGAGGGTTTCTGTCCGGAGCCACCAGAACACCATACCG